AATTAAAGCACATGCAAGCAAAAACTAAAAAATTCAACAGACCACATGTGATGTGAATTTGACATTATATTTGGGCTGGATGATGTACAGTGTACAGTGAAGGCTGTCAACTCTCAAGCATTCAGTGTGAAACTCACGAAATTAACAATTAACACTGTTTTCACGCTCACACGCCACACATCCATTTTCTCAAGCATTGAAAAACAACCTCAAACGAAAGCAAGAGCACTCTCAACACTTGGCAACTTCCCCAGTACCCATTTGTGTTTGCAGTACTTTGAGAAACAGAGAAACTTTGCAGAGAAACCTTGCAGAGAAACTTTGCACTCTAGAGAGCGTCAAAAGTTTCTATTTACAACGTGATTCGTAGCGTTGAGCATTGTAGCCAATCACAGACATAGATGTTGACTTCTTGCACACCTCTGATTGGCCATTGTGACCGTCACATTGTAACAAAGAAAGTAAAGACACAATGCAAATAAAAGATTCATTGTGCAGCATAGAGATGATTATAATGGAACTTTTTGAGATTGCAATGAACTTAAGTAAGTGACAGTTTTAGTGATTATAAAGGAAGCATTATTTGCGCGCTCTCTAGGCTACACATAATCCTTTCATAATCTGAATAAAAGTTTTGTTCTTCTTGCTGTTAAGAGGACCAACGGCCACATACCCTAAATGCAGCAAAGTCTCGGGAGTGACATAAATCCCTCATTCCTCATATAAATGCCTGATTCATTTTCAAAATCACAGTGATCGACATAATCATAGCAATGGATGGGAAATAGGGGAGAGCAGGGTGATTTGAGCTTGTGGGGAAGTTGAGCCACCCCTTGTTTCTTGGCAACCTTAAACAACATTGATTTGACCACAAATATATAAAGAGTTATCCATTTGAGAGGCCCATAGAATAATGGTGTGTCCTGTAATCCCTGTTACTCTGGTCAGTCCTGTGACTATGACGTCAATCCTGTTACTGTACATTCATTTCATAAAAATTGTAAAAAATTATATTTGATACATCCTTCAAGGTTTTTCCATTGTAACTTTAACTATATTTTATTTTGGACAAAGCCCTTTTTTAATATCTCTCTTGTAAAAATATATTTTTTTCTTAAATGACATGTGGTCACATTCCAAAATTAGGATGTTCTTGGTCATCTGAATGACAAATACAAAAATATTTTTAAAAAGATCAAAAGTTGAAACAATCACAATGAAAAGTGGGACTAAAATGCTGCTCTATCACATAGTTCTAATTAAACTATAGTATATAGTAATGCTTGTCTGTAACAGGGTTGACAAAAATACCAAAACATGAGGTAGAAAAATAGTCATAAAATGACTATTTAAATTACATAGCCTGAGACGGCACAATACAATTTCTTGTAATTTTAAGGTGTCTTCATTTCATGGATATTTAAAAAATGTTGATTAAACTTATTTATTTTATTTTTGTAATTTTTCTAAGTGGAAAAGGCACCGATTTCGTGGAATTACCCAAATGCAGGCTATCGATTATTAATAGAAAAAAAATTTTGAATTTTTAAATCAGTCATTTGCAATAATTATTAGAAATTATTTGTAAACGAATTAATGACTTGCAAATCTCACAATTCTCGCATTGCTATTTTTGCTGTGGTGAAAGTTATTTGTTTTACACCACTGCAATTTTATGATAAAAACACAGTCCTAGTTATCGTGACTTTAAATACTAGCTATGTCCAGATGTAAGGCAAAACTCTGCTGACAGGTTGTTTTTTTTTTTCCCCCACCACAAACCCCTTGGGAATTAGTTTGTCTGATGTGATGTACTGTACACTAATGATCTTTAGAGGGCAGACTTGCACAGAGGGATATCTGTGTTGTGATCTGAAGAAGCTTGTTTCTGTCTTGTGTCTAGTGTATGGCGAGTGGATATGGCGAGTGGACCATGCCGGGGAAAACCTACCTAAGTCGACTGTCGTGTACTTTTTACATGTGAGAAGGCGTACGTCGCAACACAGACGCGTGACACCAAAGCCGTAGAGAAGAAGTACGTCGCCACCACAATAAATTAATATCTTACCCTCATGTGTTTTTTTTCTAGGTTTTCTTATTTCCTTTGTTATCCTTATTATCAATCATTAACTTTTTTTTTTTACTTTCCTGTGTTCCGATGACATTGAATATATCCTTGATATAAATTGTGTATTGCATACAAAGCTGTATGTCATTAATGTCATCTCTGTACTGTTTACAAACATAATAAAAAAAAGAAGGGATAACTGTGTCACAGGGTGCTGCAATACAACTCACAAGCGCACAAAAATGAAGGTAGAAGGTAATCTTTTAATAAATCCACACAGAGAGAGAACATTTATCCTTATTATCAATCATTAACTTTTTTCTTTTACTTTCCTGTGTTCTGATGACATTGAATATATCCTTGCTATAAATTGTGTATTGCATACAAAGCTGTAGGCCTATGTCATTAATGTAATCTCTGTACTGTTTACAAACATAATAATTAAAAAAAGAATTCATTCACTTTCTCTTGGAGATTAATGACTGTGCAAATTATACACCATCAAAGTCGCAATTTGATGTTATGTTGACGATTATTTACAACAACTTAAAATATAAACACAAATTTAATAATTATAATCTATAAACATCATATTCTGGGATATGTCATTCTGAGCTTTTACGTTTGATGGTGGTAAGCATTGTAATTAACACAGCTGACTATACAATGTGTGAATACATTAGCTCAAAATATCAGACTATATGCGATATTGTTTTCAGGAGATGAAGTCATTTTAATAGCCTATTATTTTCAAGAAATCAACAATGGCAAAATATATGACAGGAAAATACTATCTTGCATCTTGTATGCAAGGCTTTCTTGTGAAAGAAAGAACAAAGGTTTGGATAAGTGTTCTGATTAAGTATATTCCACTGTATCAGTGAGAAGGTAAACAGATTAATCAAGTAGAATATTAATTCAAATGTATTGTTGCTCTATATGGAAACAGCAATAGCCAATGCCCTGAGTTTGGACGTCAGCACAGACAGATGACACTAATTTGCATAGGCAAAATTAGACTTCAAAAACTCGGACATAAACAAAGGAACAATTGCAAGCTGAATAAAAAAAACACACAGAACATTAACTGGAGTGTGAGAATCATTTTACTATGCTGCAGTGTAGCAACACATTTGTCTCTTTTTGCTTTCCGTACATCCAGTTGTGTTTGGTGTATTTGCATGCTGCAGTGTTGCCAAATCCACAGTATTTATTCCGCGGAATTGGGCTACTTTGGGGCAATGTTTGATTAACTATTTGGTCGGGTTTATTACACAGACCTGGCAACCCGAGGGGGAACACAAATTCCAGAGGGGAACAGACTCGACTGCTACACCGGTCTGTCGTCTGCCGTCCCTATCAATCCTATTCAAAAATCTACACGGACTGGCGGCGACGGAAGGGTAGACTGCTCCTTCTCCTTCTCCTGCTTAGAAAAGTCACGAATCACTCGCCATACTAGTGAAGCCTGGTATCCGCTATCGTGAGCTGAAAACGGTTTCTCTGTGGTACGGAGCTACTGTGGCCACGGCATTCACAAACGGTTGCATACAGCACCAAACGTACCGCACAGTCTGAATGATACAAGCATTGCACACTGTGATGTAATAAACCTGCAGAGATTGCAAACACTCAATAAGCTTGTACTGTCCTTGTTTTATGTATTTCTACAGAGAATGAAGTAGCAATAGTAACAGTCGGTCTGGAAATGTAATTATGTGGTGAAAAAAGAGGTGACATGAGGACTATGAGGGTTGGCAACACCAAAACAAGTGTCTGTGATACAGTTCTTGTGGATTTTTGGACTGACATACACATTGATTTCCATGAATATGTGACCACAAAATAATAATCTTACTGGTTCTTACTGTTAGAAATATGAAGCATGTTGGCTGTGTGAGGTCTGCTGTCTCGGTCTGCTTCAGTGTTTGTATGCCTGGCTCGTTGCAGTGTAGGCCAACCGTGTTTGTTTGGTACAAACTCTCCAAATCTCATAAAATCAAGATTGAATTATTAAAAGTCTTCACAGATAAAAGAGTGCCTCGTAACATTATTGAACACTGTACAATGTTTTTCATGAACTTCTACCAGCATTTATAAGGTTCAATTAATTAAATTGATTTTGTTTGAGCGGGAATGTGTCTGTGAACACCTAAGGGAAACATTAGGTTAAGTAGGCTACAAATGGTTTAATTATTTTCTGATCATTGCCACTTAAAGAGCAATGTGAAAGCCTGATAAGTTGCAGACGTTGTCACTGGTGCTCTTTGCTAGTTTAATGCATCTCATAAAAATAAATGTAATGTTTTTTACAGTTTGCAAGCTGAATTAAAGTATATCTTCTCCTTTATTTTGGCCTGTTGAATCTGAATCTCAAGAAATTATCACAAATAAATGAAAATGGGCATTTAATTCATAAAATGTCAGAAAATATTTAGTTAAAAGCAGATTTTCTGCAGTCATCCAGGAGTTTCATCTGTACTCAATTATTGTTGCTGCTTTTAACATCATTTATCTTTTAGCCAGACAGAACTGGAGTACAAGATTCATACCTTTCGTTTTATCTACACCTTTCAGAAATAGTTTCAGCATTTTAAACTGGCATTAAATATGTCTGCATTAGGGCTGAGCAATCTATTTCAATCAGTTCATCTTAAACATTTTTTAGAAGACTCTGGAAAAACGGTTTCTGCAAGTTGAGACCAAATTGACCAGCCAAGACAGACAGATATGAAGAAAGCATTTGAGAAAGACATGATATAAAGTATTTAGCGTGTTTATCAGTGTTTGGTTTCAAGCTGCAGGGTGCAGCTGCATATTTTCTGATGCTTCCCAACATTCTCATGATGGTTATGTAAGCAAGACAAATGCTGAAGAATCTGGCTCAGAGGAGAGAAATAAACTATGTTGACGGCATCATAAATTGAAATGATTAACATGCTTGTCTCTCTTTTTATTTGGCACAGATAGCATTTTCTTGCAAAACTTTTCAGAAGCATTTTGCATTGCAGACGAATAGAACCGTTTTTTGATGTTAAACATTAACGTTTACAGGCACTTGTGAATCACTTAATAAAGCAGAGGGCTGGAATATGCTATTAAAGAGGATCCTTGAATGCACCCAGCTGTTACTCAAATACTGCAAAGAAGGTGAAGCGCATAATCTGAATATATCTGGCCTAGAAACTGGTTGGGTGAAGACGATTTGCTTCTCATTTGGATATATTCAGGATGCATCGAATGCTGTAAGATAGGAAACAAAGATTAGGACTTTATTTTTTACAATATTAACCTCAAATACAGAAAGATGTGAGTGACAAATATACCAGTCTCCAGTCTTCATGAGGTTGATGGCATCGTTGACCTGCTCCAGACTCATTTTGTGTGTTATGAACTCGTCAAGCTTTATTTTGCCGGTCATGTAGTCACAAACCAGGTTTGGAACAGAGTCCTTACTTTTAAAACCTTTACATAACCAGAAATGAATGTACTGTATGCACAAGCATGTATTCAAGTTCCTTCTCTGAAAGTCATAGAAAGCATTAACTGACAGCTTGATTACCTCCAAACAGAGATCCTTTCCAGGTTTTCCCAGATATGAGCTGAATTGGCTTTGCAGAGAAGTCCTTCACATCAGTCCAGCCAACCAAAACACTCACACCCCAACCTTTAACACATGACTCCAGTGCAGTTCTCTGAGGTCAAAGATGCATTAATTCACACACATTTCACGTACTGAAAGCTTTTAAACGAGTTAGTAAATAAATGCACCTTTCACAAATGTGTCAGGCAGGTCTTACCATTACTTCAGTGTTGCCCACACACTCGAGTGAGAAATCCACTCCTCCATTGGTAAGTTCTGCCAGTACTTCAGAGATGGGTTTATTATATGCCTTTGGATTCAGAACATCAGTGGCACCGAAGACCTTTGCCTTCTCAAACTTCTGCTCATTAATATCCACAGCAAAGATGCGGGAGGCTCCGGCGTTTTTACAGCCCATGACTGCAGCCAGACCTACTGCACCCAGTCCAAACACTGCACACACTGAGCCTGGTGTGACCTTCACACAAACACAAATTAATTACTAGTGTAAACATCTTAACATCCCCCTTTCAAGCCACAAAAACCATTTGGACATTT